GTCACGGAGTATGGATGGACGGCACGAAGGATGCACTCACGTAGGATGGCAGCGGGATCACGGATGCAGGGGAGTATGATGCACGGACGGTACGATGAGGAAGGTTTTTGGGGTAGGCGTACGGGATGCCGGACGTGACGGGGATGCCTAAGTACGGATGCAGACGTACAGGATGCACGCACGTACGGCTGGCCGCACGTACGTATTACAGCCGGATACGGGATGCACGGGGTAGGGGGATGCACGGGGAGGAGTACGATGCACGGACGTACGGATGCAGCGCAACGTTAGGGGGATGACGCACGTACGGATGGGCCCGCAAGCGTAGGTTTGAGCGCACGAACGGATGAGCAGCCCCGTTCTCTGATTTCTGCATCTATACTTAACGGCGCACGAATAGCGCGAAGCATTACAGCATTCTGCGTGTGTCATCCTGCACACAGGAGTCAGGCGGGATTACGCCAAGGGCGAGGGTGCGCGTTGTCGTCGTCCCGGTCGTCGGGCGGCGGGGGCCGGGGGCGCGTGGGGGTGGTGCTCGCAAAGCCAATGCACAAGGTTTTTTTGATGTTGGACGAGAAATGCGCCGGCCCGTCGCGTCGGACCGGGTCGTGAGCGCGCCGACAATTCGTGGCTTATTCGGCGATGGATATGGCGGGGAGCGACAGCGGCAACAGCGGCGCTGGCTTACAGTCAGCAGCAGCGTGTACAGCAGAGCAGAAGAGAGGTGAGTAGGACAGCAGTACCTGTGCTGGCGGTATACGAGGCAGAGCAGCACAGCAAGCAGCACAGCAGCAGCAGTAGGCGAGTAGCAGCAACAACAACACAGCAGGCAGTGTAGTCAGCAATGCAAGCAGCAGAGCAGTAGCAGCAGGGCGGAAGCAGCAGCAGGGGTGGCAGCAGCAAGCGCAGGGGCGTAGCAGCAGCAGCAGGGGCGGGAGGGAGCGCAGCAGGGGCGCATCCGGGAAGAAATGAGGCCTTGCTTGGATTCATGCACGGTGATGTTTAACCGCAGCCCATAAGACAAAGGCAGCACGCTCGCATGACATGCCTTGGCTAATGGTCCTCGCAGTGCGTTATCAG